GCAAACGATCACAAAGAAACATTTTGCGGGATGACAAGCATCAAGCGATAGGGTGGAGTCACACACACAAACCTGCAGATTTGTTTGCCTTTGTGAGAGGAACACGTGGTCTTTGAAAAGGGCCTTAGTTTCCGCATTTGCAACCACACCCTCCGCCAAAAATCCAGAGCAGGCACACGATTCGGAACTACTGGGGTTTCAAGTATTTCCCTAACGAGTACAAAAAAATCAGGAGCCACATTGTGATTTCAGTAGTAAATGCTTCTGGAAAGTTAAAATCTTGCCCAGGTAGTAAGCAGCAACAAATGTTGGGCATATCTTCTTCTGCTTCTTCTTTTGTTCGAACTAAATATTATGACTGATAGGGCCCTAATCAAGATATGTGAATTGGAATAACTCGCCTACGTAAGTAAGGCAATCCTGCACCTAATTCCATGAAGATTATATATTTCCGTGTCCTAAACTTAACAGTAGACCCAACAAAAGTACTCGAAGTTTAGCGCTATTCATATCTTAAATCCCTAAGACTTATTTATTAAATTTGCGAAAATTACCATTGAAAATTTCAGAAGATGAAATGGCGAACATACGTTTGTTTTCGATAATTCTCATCCGGCCTTTACATTTATATGGTAATTAAGTAAATGAACAATGCAATTCTCATCAGGCCTTTACATTTATATGGTAATTAAGTAAATGAAAAATGCTAACCTAAATCCTACTCTTAGGCCAAACCCTAAACTTAACTCTAAGCCTAACGCTAACCATACATCAAACTCGACTTTCCTTGGTATTTAGCTCAGAGGCAACTTTATTGCGCGAAATTCCTGTTCTCTTGTGCTATATAGAGTGCCATATGCATCCTCCGTACCCATAAATACCTTCTTACTCTCTTCTGCTTTTGTGCTAACTAAATGTGTGGAATATCCTAACTGATTAGAGGACAAGGAAGGGCATCGAGCACCCGTAACCCTGAGGAAGTACTGCAGTTAGGCCAGCGTTCCTTGCATATGTAGGGGTCTGAGAAGTTTTTTAACTCGGATCACTACAATCGTCAGGCCAAATTCCAGGTTGGAAGTTAAAAGGCAGAAGTCATCAGAAGGAGTGATTTATTGTATATGGAACTCCGAATTGCTGTCTCAGGTGGCAGTGGCCACTGGCGAAGTCAGGGCTGGTTTTCACTGCCTCTACCCGGACCTGAGAGAGAATGAGACAGTGGTGGCAGCTGCTTAAGTAAGATTGCGGAGCGGGTTCAAGTGTTCCGTTATTGGTGTGTTGCAATTGCCCGAGGGGGTGTCACCTGCAAGGGCCCCTGCTGCGTTGGCCAAAGAAGTGGCGTGTTAAGTGGCCCTTAGAAAGGTGTTCTTATTTAGACGCACGTGTATACGCGGGCGTGGGGGCACGTGTGTACGTGACTGAATAAGCAGAGGTCAACTGTGGGGGCCGCCGGAACGTCGAAGGATAGGGGACGCTGGTGCAGCTGA